TGTAAATATCCTGAACTTTATTGGACAAAACTGCTTGTATATAAACTAAGTTTGCAAAGAAACCCTAGCCGCATTCACTTCCCCAATCCTCTTCTCCTCTGATTTTTTTCTCTGCTCTTCAAAATCCTATCTAGTTTAGCGCAGCTCTTCGCCAATATTCCTCTCCTGTCGATCTGCTCTCTTCTCACACCGACTCCCTATATCTCCTCTCAATTTACTCTCTCTCCCTCGATAGTACTCCCTCTCTTTTTTGGGTTTTCGATTTGCCTTTTCTCTCGGTCGGAGCTTTAGAACCACAGAGACAGGGGCGACTTCACGGTGGCGACAGTTGATACTCGTGACGGCGAGGGACGAAACTCACTGCGGCTTCTTATGGGCGAATCTCACGGCGGCGAAGGCGGACAAAGCTCACGGGGCTTCTGACCTGGTTGTTTGGTAAGTTTTGGTTTTCAGTGGGAGAAGGCTGTCGCTCGTAGCTTTGTATTTCATCGGCGGTAACGACGGCTATGCAAGAGGAAACTCTTTCGGTGAGATTATGTTGCATAGATTTTTCATTGTTTCTTACTGAGTGTTTCAGATCTAGATCTGACTTGGTTGTTTTTGCAGGTTTGGTAAAGAGGCTTTGTTTATATCCTCTAAATGCTTTACATCTGGAGTTTTAGACGGCCAATTTGGATATTGGCTGTGAAAGTGGAATTGATACTATGGTAATCTTGGGTGAATCTGGGATTTACTGTTTGACGAGAAGGACGATTTGATATGGACCAGAAAATAAATGGTAAATAAGTCCAAAAAAAGCAGAATAAAGTATGAACTAAAATGCAGGAAAACTCAAAAAGTAAATAAGAATAAATCATTTTTAAAAATATCAGAATAAATTGTGAACTAAAATGAGCCGGAAAATTGTGAATAACTCGAAAAATGCCTCTGTTGCTAAAATCAGGTAACCTTCGGCGACGGAATCTTACGTTGCAAAATTTTTATTTTCTGCGACGATAGAGCTCTTTTCGTCGCCAAATGTCCATTTTGCGACGACATCTTCGTCGTAAAATCACCGACCTTCCGCGACGAATTCCTTTATTTCTGCGACGAACCAGTTTTTTTCGTCGCAGAACTTTTTGCGACGCAGTATAGGCGACGAATGTTTATTCTTTTTTGCGACGCTGTAATCCGTCGTGGAAACATTCTGCGACGAAATTTAGGGCTTTCTGCGACGAAAACTTCCGTCGCAGAAAGTGAAGTTTCTTGTAGTACCTATACAATACGATTTTACAAACACTATAATCTTGAGCCAAGGTGGGTCCCGGGACCCACCTTGTTATGAGCTGGCTCCGCCACTGTTTGCCGAATAAGTATTAAAAAGTTGCCCATATCGTGGCAAGAATGTTCTCTTATCGTTGGTTGGTGGTTGATCGGCTGATGTCTTTTTTTCATTAAGCTTGAAAAAGATTTACTTTTATACATTATATATGTTTTTTTTGGAATATCTATGGAAAAAAAAAATTTAACTGTGAAGTGGGGTGGTGGTAGTAGGACTCGGCTGATGTTGGATGCAAGGGATAGGTTTTTGGTCCGAACACTGTCCCTCTCATTTTAAGCTTATTTTTGTTACTGGCAGTTTGGCACCTCGAACACCGCCCAGCCTTAAGCCTTTGGCCTCCCTTTTCTAATAGAGTAAATGCCACATTTGTTTACTGAAATTACTATATGATGTCATGTTTAATCACTAGCAAAAATTAATATCAATTTTGGTTACTCGAATTACTGAAACATGTCACATTTAGTCACCCACCCGTTAGTTTCCGTCCAAATTCGTTAATGGAGTTGTACAGAGGCTAACGGTGAGTGACTAAATGTGACATGTTTTAGTAATTCGAGTGACATTCATAAAAATAAAAATAAAAAGGGGTTAAAGACACATTTGATCACTAAGATTACTAAATCGGGACATGTTTAGTCACTAGAAAAAGTTAATATCAAATTTGGTCACTGTAATTACTAAAACAGGACACATTTAGTCACTCGCCGTTAGTTGCCGTCCAATTCCGTTAATAGAGTCTGTTATGTGCTGACGTGGCTAACATGAGCGCCTAGTCAGTGTTGTTTTGGACCAGAAATGATAAAACCTGACCCGCCACGTCACTAAAACCACCACGTAATAAACCCAACCCAACCCAACCTAGAAATAAACCCTAACCCAATTAAAATAAACAAATCCGATCATTTCCATTTGCAGACCCGAAAACCCTTCTCCTTCCTCGAGAGCTCTTCCCCTTTGCCGGCGGCCACTCTACACTAGAAACACAGCACCAAAAAAAAAAGGAAAGGAAGTTAAGTTACGCGGCGCATCCGGTGAGCAAGATCCTCGAACGTCACCGTTTTCTCACCTGCACGCAATCGATTCTTCCCAAACACCACTAATCCTCCATTGTCCATTCCCTATTTCCTCCATCATCTCGTGTAAACCAGAAAGAGTTGCAGAGAGAAAGTTAATAACAGGAAGCCACAGAGAATTTTCCAATTGCCTATCTTCCGATCTCTGCAATTCGAAGAATCATCGATGCACCAGGGCAATTACGCTTCCTACTACCATTTCCCCATCTTCCAAAACCCTAATCCCAATCCAAATTCGATTGATCACCACGAGACAGCGTCGGCTCCGCCGTTCTCCACCAGCTACCCTCCATCCGATTACTTTGCAGCCTATCCTGCCCAATCTTACGCTCCTCCACCTCCTTACTCTTCCAATCCCGATCCCGCGCCCCACCCACAGCTCCCTCGTCGTACTCCCAACCGGCTTCAACTCCGTTAAATCCCAACCCTCGTTCAGCCCACCGCCTCTGCCGCTAGCTCAGCAGTCGGCATTCCCGCTCCGGAAGAATCTCCCTGAGATCAATTATGTACCAAAGACTCGAATTCAGACCATTCTCATACTCCCAAAACACAGAGAAGTTGTGGGTACTGGCCGGAATTTCAGGCGCCTGGAACCCTGGATGCACCGCGTAACTTAACTTTTCTTTTTTCTTGGTGCTGTGTTTCCAGTGTAGACCGGCCGCCGACGAAGGGGAAGAGCTCTCGAGGAAGGAGAAGGGTTTTCGGGTCTGCAAATGGAAATGATCGGTTTTGGTTTTTTTAATTGGGTTAGGGTTTATTTTTGGGTCGGGTTGGGTTAATGGTTTGGGTTGGGTTTATTACGTGGCGGGTTTAGTGACGTGGAGGGTCAGGTTAGACCATTTTCGGCCCAAAACACAGCTGACTAGGCGCTCACGTTAGCCACGTCAGCACATAACGGACTCTATTAACGGAGTTGGACGGCAACTAACGGCGAGTGACTAAATGTGTCCTATTTTAGTAATTACAGTGACCAAATTTGATATTAACTTTTTCGAGTGACTAAACATGTCCCGATTTAGTAATCTCAGTGACCAAATGTGTCTTTAACCCAAAATAAAAAGTAATTCGATTGACCGGTGTTGGACGAAAGCTAACCGGAGAGTGAGTTAATGTGACCTGTTTTAGTAATTCGAGTTTGATATTATTTTTTTTAGTGACTAAACATAACACGATTTAATAATTCCAATGATCAAATGTGATATTTACCATTTTCTAATATTAACCATCTATAAATTATTTGGTGCCTCACTCTTCCTTTTATGAACCATAGATTTCATTAGTGACTATGACTCGCTCTCATGAATTCTGAGAAACACTTATAAACGTAATTATATAACTAGTAATTAGCCCGCGCTCTGCCGCGGGATAAGTTTGATTTATAATAATTTGTCAATGAATTGAAAAGGCTGTAAGAACACATGAAAATAGCTAAATTGTATTTTTGTTACCACATTAACTTAATTATGCAAAATGGGTCTACATGTTGATCCAGCAATGGCCGCAGAATGTAGTGTTCAGCATCCATGCATAGACACACAGAGGTACTTTACAAAACGATCAATGGTGTCACAAAATGAGGTGGTTCAAATTGCAAAAGAGTTTCCACACAACAAAAGCATATAAGCATAAATTGTTTGATTATTCCTGCAGAGTTAGATAAGCTGGTCTGTGAATGAACTGTCGCTAGTGTGCATAATCATTTGTCAAAGGCTGAGCTGTTCCATAGCGTGGCAACTCTAATGTGTGGTGCAGAAGCTGAATTTTGGTATTTCAGATCTGCTGCGGGATACGTTTGATTTGTGTAATGTAATCCGTTGTTACTGTAATGCAAAGCTTGAAAGAATACACAGATGGAAACAACTATTTTGCCATATTTAATTACTGACCACCAATGTCATGACGGACCACACACAATGGGAATACATGTTGCTCCAACAATGGCCACATGCATCCACGCATGAACACACAGAGGATGACATTCTGAATTTTACAAAATGACCAAAGGAATCACAAAATAAGATCGTTCAAATTGCAAAAGAGTTTACATACGGCAAAAGCATATAAGCATAAATTGTCTGATATTGGTTGGGAGAGAGGAAAGTCAGTGAGATGGAAAAGTTGATGAAGAAAAATGCTTGTAGCGTTAGTAAGCCGATTTGTGAATGGAGTGCCATAAATGTGAAGGATCATTTGTCAAAGGCTGAGCAGTTCCAGAGCTAATCACCTTCTCTGATGGAGATTTCAATGATATGGCAGACACTCAACCAGTCCAGCCTAGTAGCTGCAGATCTGCAAGTGTAAAGGAAGGAAAATGAATCACTAATTAGATATCCTGAAACATAAAGCAAAAAAAAAAAAAAACTGAGATTGAAACCTTGGAATCCCACAATCGAAGGGTAGAAAGAAAGAAAGAAAGCAAGAAAGAGAAGGGTCAATAACTTTATGATTCCAAGAGGTGTACCATAGACAAAAATCAGTAGAGATTTGTCAGAAACCAAAGCAAATTATCTTACCATCTAACATATGCAAAACATACATACTTCTATCTTATCGACGTACAAAAAGTTGCTGCTCTTACCAATCTTGCGCAATCAAGGGTCGCCATTCACCAGCAAAAATATAGGCTGTATTAACTTGAATTAGTGGCACCTTCCAGAACTTGCTTTGTTTCTTCCTCAACTCCATCACAGTTGAATAGTAATTTCGAGTATGTATGACTATATGAACTTGCTTTATGTCAGTAAGCACCACATGAGATTTATCTGAAGACGTTTAGGAAAAAGAAATCATGATGTTAGTTGACCGCCCACAATTACTGGAAGTCCACCAATAAAGAACATGAAACGATGATCAAAACCAGCAAGATGAGTAATACTCATTTCTCATGAATCATGAAAGGATACCCAAAATATGCTATTTATACCAGAGACTAAGTACCAACACTAATTTTGACTACTGTTATGAACTGATGGAAAATCCATCCTATACATAACAATAACAAATAACTATGGAATAGTTCGAAATCGATGGATTACATGTTGGAAGCTTAGCAGTTCAACAAATTTTGATAAAGTGCCTTTGATTTAGCACACTCCAAAACATGAATAAAATGAGAAAGATATAATTGAGACTCAAAAAAAGAAGATGAGGAATACCCGTTAAGTAACTCATGCCCTGGATCCGAACCCATGATCACTTGAGCTTCCCTTCTAAGTTCTAACATATGCGGAGTCATCCAATCAATCTCTACAGTTTGTAAAATCTGCATTCGGAATAAAAAAGTACAGGAAAATCATATTAACAGGATTTCAATAAGAAAACAAAGGAATTAAGGAAGAACCTTAATGCTAGGAAAAGGCTTCGAAAGTTCCTACTCCAAGGCATCCAGGGCTCATAAACATTGGTATGGTGATCGATTTATGAGTTATTAAATACCTCGCCACATGAATCACCAAGTGACCATAGGCGAAAATTGAGTGAAAGAAGATGAACTGGAGAACAGAACACAGAGAGCTTAGTTATAAGAGATGCAACCAAACACAACAGAAGAGAGAGATGAAGCAATATCTTCAAATTCTCACCTCAAACTCCAGAGTCAGCAAATCTTGTTTCCCTCCGTCGTGAATCACTTTCCCACCACCGCAGGTCCTATCCAACGTGGATCTATAACCCAACCACAGATCTTCGGATTGCAGCTTGTCGTGAAAATTCAATGGCCACCTTCCGGACTTTGAACTCAGTGCCGGAAACTACTCCAAAAAAATTGATCAAACAACACATTTTGAGAAATAAAGGGAGAACAAACTCATATAAGAAAAAAGAAGAAAAAATTCCATCAAAGAGATATCAAAATGACCTTGCGGAACAGGATCTTCCCTGATTCCTCTCTCAGCCTCTAAAATTTGCCAGTTGATCGCTTCAAGCTCGCCCCTTTAGGGAAAAGGAGATGAAGAAACAAAACTGAGTCCAACCAGAAAAAAACCTACGGATTTGGGTCTTCTTTGTGATCCGGCTGCAAAACCATATCGATATCCCGAGTAATTAAACGCCAAGAAACAGAGTACAGTGAAAGAACCAGAGAGGAAGTTATAACCTGATGCTCCTTATCCCGTCAACCCTTTTGTCGAGGTGGCAAAACCATCTTTCAAATCTGTAAAAGCCATCAAACAATCTTCAGTGTCAAATCTTGAAACCCACCAAACAATACCAGACCAAAACAGCACAATAGGGACAAAGAGAAGAATTAACCACCTGAATTCATAGGACGATCTGACTCATCCTCGCATCCTATCCGGATCATAGTTCCAAATCTCCCATACGTAGGAGATGGATTCTTGGTGATTTACCACTGGCACCTGTCAATCAATACAGGCTTCGGCTTAATCAAATTTGTAAAACCCTAGGAATTTGATAAAACATCAGGGAACAACACGACTAAAGTACCAGCGATGCAGAAATAGAAGCGAAAAGGAAACTTAAGAGATTGAGAGCTAGCTTAAAAAAAAAAAGAGATCGAGAGCTCACCGATTGGTCCCATGATCACCTCGACTTAAGCTGGCGGTTGCTCAGCGAGCTCGCCAGGTAAATGTGCAGAGAATCATGGACGTCGGCGGTTGATTGCCGGTTATCAGGAGGCTTCTCCATCCAAAAAGTTCAGAGAAAATAGAGAGCAGGGGAGAGAGAGAGAGAGAGGAGAGAGCAAAAGAAGTCATATCAATTGCTTTCGATTTGCAGGGATACCCATCGGAAAAGAGTTCAAAGTGGTAAGGGTAGGTGAAATGAGTGGACCATAAAAGAGTTACGTGGCAATGTCTAAAAAAATAAAGAGGACCCATAAAGCTTCTCAATGTTCACTTGAGGCCGACGTACGTCTCTATGCCCACTGAGGTGAATAAAAAGGAGCAGAAAAGAATCACAAAGTGGAGACAAGGGCCCATCCCAGGTCAGGTCAGCAGCCAATCAGAAGCATGTGTTAGGGAAAACCGTCAACTTCCGTGCAAGGATCGCAGTATCCGATAAAAACCCCTCGAGACCCGAAAACCATTGCAGGCTGCAGCACTCCTCCCAAACCTTAGCCATCATCACCAAAACCAGATGAGAAAGATACATTGGATTTGAGGCCGACGCGAAACTCGAAGACCCCAACACAACAAAAGGAAGGCGCAAAAGAGTTGGAAATGGCGGCAAAACAACCATCAACTCCTTTGGACAATATCAGGGCCCACAACAGGCAGTTAACCAATCAAAAGAAGGTGAATAGTAATTTTGGGTCTGTATAAATAGTAAAACGCATCTTGAGCTACAGTGATCGGCGTTAGTGGAAATAATGTTCTTTAATGTATGTAGTGTTTGGTGGTTGTGAGACATACCTAATATTAGATGTGGTGGCAGGTAAGGGTTTGAACTCTCCCTAGTCCCTATTACTAAGTTTATTTTCATTTTCCCTCAAAAAAGTTTATTTTAGTTAATATGGAATTTCCCCAACATTTTTTAGTTTTTTTTCTCCTGTTAATTCCTTACAATTATGTCGTATTTCTTAAAATAATTATCATTTTTATCTACAAAATATATAAGGTAAAACATGGGTTGAACTTGTCTCATTTAAATTTCGTGGCTTGAGAGTGATTCTAGGAAGGTCATTTTTGTCATTGCACCCAGTTCATCTTTATATATAAAAATGTTGTCATTGGAGACTGAACCTTGATCACTTAAATGAAGAAAGAGCATTATAACCAACTAGACTACATTGTATTTATTGTTACTTCTTTGATAGAACTTTAGAAATATGTTCGGTGATAATGCTTTATATTTATATTTTATCTTAAATTATGTATATTTTATAGAAAGAGATTAGTTCTGAAATTCGAACTTAAGTAACATTGATTCAAACGTTAATATTAAATTGTAGTTGTAGTCTAATTTAGACAAAATACAAAAGTGTACCCAAAACCTGTAGCTTTGTGACGAGTATAGTGATTTTTTTGTGACAAATTTACACATAATATAACGATATAATTGGAAAATGAGAGTCTCATTTCAAATTTTGTGTCCTGAGAGTGAATATAGGAAGCTCTTTTTCGTCATAATGCACAATTTATCTTTATATTATGTGTAGATTTGTCTCAAAAAATTACTATATTTGTCACTAAAATTCATGCTTTTGCTACATATATGTATTTTGTCTAAACTGAACCACATATACAATTTAATATTTAATGTTTGAATCAATGTTACTTGAGTTTCGATTTCACAATTAATCACTTTCTATAAAATATAATAATTTCAGGTAAAATATCCTTCCTGCTTGGTTGAAGAAGCTATTTCTATAAGATATATACAATGTTTTAAGATTTTCCATTTCAAATTTCGTGAAACGAGAGTGAAAGTAGGAAGAGTATTTTTGTCATCACAATATCAAGATTTGAACCATGGTCTCTTCAAACAAAAACAATAATCACAACCAATTAGACTAAACAAATTTGTTTTATCTTCTTAAATTGTAAACGTACACTAAATTGTAAACATAATCACAACCATCTACCACTTCGGAAATGGGTTGATCTTATGACACAATTACCTTAAGTGGTCGACCTCTTTCACCAAGTGGTAAACCACTCGAGACAGCCAGTCTACCGCTTCTGGCAATGGGTCGACAGGTGACACACTTACCATCAACTTACAATTGCTTATTGGATGAGGTAGACCGCTTCCGCCAAAATAGCCTACTGATTCCGCAAAATGGTTAACATCTGGATCAATTATTGAGAGAGGCGGGCCACTTGCAGAAAGAGGTAGACCACTTGATGGAAGTGCTAGACCATTTTTTTTTGTATAGTGCCTTTTAGTGGAAGAGGTTGACCGTTTGTTGAACATGGCAAATGAAATATAGTACATCTGGTCCACCATTCCAACAATGAGGTCTACCATTTTGTCCAAATAGGTTGACTGTTTTGTCCAAGTAGATCGACCTCATTAGTGAACAAGTCGACCGTTTTGTCCAAGTTACGGTGACTTGCAAGTCACCATAGCAAAGTCCATTGTTTTGACTCGAAGTTTTGATGAGGCAGTTCAATTCTTAGATAGAGGAAAGGTTGAGCTCGCAGCAAATAGTGAGCTATCGTTCGGCACGAGCTCAACAGGTCCTTCCAATAGGAAGGATCCCATAGTTGGTTCTGATAGTGGTGTGCTCTGTTGGGACTGGCGAGTGTAGACTCACACATGGCTGTAGGGACGATGATCAGAAACATCTTGGGGACACCTGCGATGGCACGAGGCGTAGGTTATGAAGGGTTGGTGGATTCGAGCATGGTGGAATTGGTGGCACTTCGCGATGCAATTAACTAGTGTCGCGAGGTGGGATTTACTTCCTTTGTGATAGACTCGAAGTTGTTATTGACAAAGTAAATTTTAGCAGTAAATTTCAATGAGGCTGTTAGTAGGGGTGGAGTCATTCTCATTGAGATTCACAGGCTATTTCACTCGTCTTCGGTATTTTCGATGCAGTTTGTACTTCGTAGGCAGGCAGACCAATCAGATAGCCCATTTGGTGGTAAAAAAGATCGCTTTTTTTATTCTCTGTAAAAAAATGTTGCGTTTGACACTAAATAGAGTTGTAAACGTTATATATTTTTTGTTCTTAAGTGATCATTTTGAAATATAAAAAATGAGCACCTAAAAAATCCATGTGCTAGGAACTCAGAAATCTCTCCGCCGGAGCCAAGAATTGCTCGCGGCTAGGGTTTGATCGTGCGACTTATTCTGATGGCGGTAGCAGGTACGCCTGCCTCTCCGACCCTCTCACCGGAGGAGACCAGGCCCCCAGATGGGCTAGGAGATCTCCGCAGACCACCTGAACTTTCATCGTCACCGGACGGAAAGAAAGAACGAGAGGTGCAGCAACAGAAGAAAAGGGTCTGACCACTTGACCTAGGGGACGAAGCCGCTCTGGGCGATGAGGTGATTATTGAGGATATCATGGAGGAGTTGGGGAAAGAATCCAGTTTGAACCCTAGGGCGATTGAGACGGCCACCAGGCGAAATTTAGCGACACAGTAGAAGCATCCCATGGCTTGGGGCGTGGGTGGCAAGAAACTTTTCAGCGAAGCCGTTAAACAGGAAACATGGTATGTGGAGGATTCGAACGCTGAAGAGACGATGGAGGAGATGCGGGATGACACTCAAGAGTAAGCTACTATAGAGGATGATGATCACCACTGCCCTACGATCTACTTCTTGCCGGAAGAGTGGCGAAATTATAGACGCGAGTGGAGATCGACTCTTATGGTGAAAGTTCTTGGTCGCTCATACTCGTATCCAATCATGGAGAAACGTTTGAACATGATGTGGGCGAGGAATGGAACGATCCAGATAACGAATCGGCCGAATGGCTTCTTTTTTGTCAGATTTACGAATAAGATGGATTATGAGCTAGCCCTAATAGGAGGACCCTGAGTAATTGGGGACAATTATATCACTATCCAGAAGTGGAAGAAAGGATTTTATCCCCGAACCTGCAAGATTGATTCTACTTTCGTTTGGATAAGGTTACATGATCTTCCCATTGAACTATACAATCCGGAAGCTGTGCTACTCATAGCTAAGAGAGCACGCACACCAATTTGGGTGGATAGAGCGACGGAGTTGGGTGCCAGATGGGTCTTCGCCCGGGCATGCATTGAGGTGGACCTTACTAAACCGTTACTTTCAAAGTACAAGG